CAGACGATTTTGTAGGTAACAAAGTTTCTCCTAGATTTTTTTCTAAAAGGGAGAAACTGGAACATAAAATTAATGGTATATTTGTGACCTTGTTTTTTGAAACTAACACACCAGTGTCTGCTTCATTGGAAGTGGGTGCAATTTTTAGTGCGTTATCAAAGTGCTCTTTAGAATTTGTTGCCTAATTTTACTCTTCTTGTGCTCTGTCCTTGGAAATAGCTGTTCACAAAATGTATATTCTGCCAAAAAAGAAATCACAGGGATAAGGCACAATGGTCAAGCAGGGATTTTTTTCTGGAAAAATAGGTGTCATAAAACCCTAGTGAAAAGACAAAGGCAAATTATTCTTTGAGTTGAATCTGTGCATTCAAGAAATTAATAAATGAGAAAGTATTCATTTTTCAATTATCAGTGGTGTTCTATAAGTAATTGTAACAATGCCACAAGCAAAAGCCAATCTGAGATATTTTTATGATTTCTATACCACAGCTGCTAAAAATATTTAAATTGATTAAATTACTTTATGAAATAGCATAAGCCCACATTTAATAATTAAGTAAGAAAATTTATATAATGGCTTAACAACAATAAACGCTAATGCTCACAGGCACACACATGTAGAGTAAACTAAAGTCACACAAGCATGTGTAACGTATGATGCATTTGAGCTTTGATTAACTATGTGTGTCAGGCACAAGAGGTGGAATCACACAGCACAGTAGCCTGCCCTAGGCAGCATTTATTTGTTACCTACACAGTTTATTCTTGAGCACCATGCAATCAAGTCATAAAAATATCACTAGAAATCACATACTCATGCTAAAGTTTTGTGATGCTGAATTACTAGCATTCCAGGGCTATATATGTTCTATAAACCAGTTGGATCCACCTGCCTAACACTTAGACAATACTACTTAAGATGATTAATATTAGAGATGATTATATTTCTGTTCACTCCACATTCTTTCTCCAACAAGACATAAGATCTTATCTGCATCTCTGGGAAGGGAAAGGATGGTGTTATGAGAAACCTTTCAGCCTCTACCTCAACTCTGCAAATTGTTCCTCCCCTTGAAGAGAGAAAAGTAAGCCCATTTGACAACAAAGTAAGGGCCTGACTTTCACGGGGCAAGTGGCAAACAAGTTGCCTTGAAGGTTGGAAGGAAGGTGTGTGCTCTTCCTTGCTTTCTCTTAGCTCTGCTTCTCCAGATGCGGTGGGCATCAGAATGGCAATGTCCATGCAGCAAGCCCTCTCAGTGAGCTTTATTTATGGCACCTCGTCTGTGCAAGAATGGATAGATTTACTCTATGCAAAAGCAGAAGTTTGTTCTGTGTCCTCAATATGAGCATTCTCCTAAATAAAGCCAATAAGTACTCAATGTCTATATGTTTCTATAGGCATAAATTCTCAAATATCTTCAGAAAGGAAGACCAATTATATGTGGAGTTTAATTCCACAAAGTAGCCCAGTAGCAAAATCATGAAAATGTTACATTGGTCAAATGATTAGTAACTAGACATGGTGGTGCATGCCTGTAATCCTGCTTGGGAGGCTCAGGCAGAAGGATCATTACAAGTTCAAGACCAGCCTGAGCTACAAAGTGAGCTCAAGACTAGCCAGAACTGCATAGCGAGACCCTGTCTTAAAATGACAAACAAACGATTAGTGAAGGCAGACATCACCAATCAGGAAGTAATAGGTGCCTTGAAAAGGTGAAGATTGTTGACATTATAAGCTGCATGTTCATGTCCCCCCTCCAAATTGATAGGCTGAAACTTTAACCCTAAGAAGGATTGTATCAGAAGGCAAGGTACTTAGGTCTTGATAAAGTCATGCAGGTAAACTCTGATGAAAGGCACCTTTCTAACAACTAGGAAGTGGACCTGCTAAAGCCCTGACAATGGGCTTGCGTAGGCCTTGATCTTGACATTTCCAGCCTCACATTAGGAGAGGAGTTTACCCATCACCCACTTCTCACAGTTACAGCAAGGAAAGGGAGCTCTACTTCCCAGGAGAGTATTCTGCTCCCTGACCCACATTTTCCGAAGGGAGGAAATACTTCTCTGCTTTGAGCAGCTTGAAGAAATTAAGATAAATAGCTTAGCTCCTTTCTCTCCTTCAGAATGTGAAAGTCTTAAGGACATACACTTCCTTTCTTCCATTACCAGGAGCCTGATGTCATAAGTGTGTAAGTTCAATTTCTAGCTTTGGGGAGCACTAAAGAGAAATAGTATTAAGGATCGGGTCAAGTTCAATTTTCAGATTGTGGGAGCACAGAATATAGATACTGTGTGGATAACGATAGTTCAAGCAAAGAATCTCTAATCTCTTGTTACTGGAAAAACCACATATTTTTTTTCATTGATTATTTAGAGTCCTGTCTTTACTTTTTGTGATTTTTCTATATTTAAAAGAAATGCTATTGACTGTCCTTGTCCAGGTCTAACTCACCAGGTTGTGGGCCAGAAATGCAGGCAGCATGTAACAGGAAAGGACAGGAAACCTTTGACCATCTAGGCCATTTGGTTTGAACCTCATTGGCTTTTTGTGACTTGTTTTCACTGTGTGGCTGGGTTTTAATTGCTGAGAGAATATAGGGGTTAGTAATCATGGTCTCTGGGCTTCCCTGTGGTTAAACTCGACCTGACTTATTTCAGAACAGTTATGGCTTAAAGCAGGCCAAAGGAACAGGGGTCACATTACAGGTCAGAGAGTCATTTTTTACCAATAAAAGAAGCAGAATTTCAGTATAAATGCATTTAAGGCATCTGTGGGTGGATCAATCTTGGCTCTGTCAACTGTATTTCATGGGCAGATCTGTAGGCTGGATCACCACTGTGCAAAAGCAGCCAGGTTACAGGACACAGAGTTCTCTTAAAGTGAGTCACAGGCCAGTGTAGGTAAATGCTACTGAGTGTGCTGCCTCATACTCTATTTTTTTGTATGTTGTTTTGAAATACAACAAGAGTTAAAAAGAAAATATGAAGAAACTAACCTATCGGTTTTACAGAGCCTATTTGAAAAGCCTTTAAGAATGACACATCGAACCCAGGACTGCAAGGTAGCCTTGATTTGTTATTGAAATGAGGAAGAAACACAACTTTGGATTACAGATCTTTACTGTATCTGTCCTCATACACAGAAAGAATGTGGATGTTAACAAAATGTAAAAAAAGTAGGGCCTCTTGATTGAGGAAAAATAAAGCACAGATGAAGTGTCTGCACATTAGACAGATACCAAGGAAGAAAGGAGACCCTGAAGGTAAGGTTAGAGAAAACAGACGAGCCTATATCTAACTTCTCTCATACAGAGGAGTTTTGAAGAAGAACAGGTATTTTAGCACTGGATTTGGAGAGTATAACAAGCCCATTGAAATCTAATAAAGTAAAATAGTCAAAGTCTCAGAAGCAATTTTCAAGGCTTCCCCAGAGGAAAGCTCTTGTCCAGGAGACGACTGAGAAGAACATTCTGAAAGGCATGTAGAGAGAACCTATTAAAAAGCAAGTGGCAAATCACCTTGGAAGACCTGAACAATCTCAGTTATATTCAATTAAATGGAGGAGTTTAAAAATATTTTTATAACTATATGATTATATTAACCATTATGTATATGTAACTATCACATAACTATTGTTTACATAACTATATGTATAACATTATGTATCAAAGCCACTATAGCTATTTTAAGTCTATGTTACATATTAATCTATACTGTACTATGTTAGGGAGGCTATTATACTAGAAAAGGGATTATTGCCTTGCTCTGGGGCAGTACTCACGAAATGTGTGAAAGTTGCACACTTGGCAGTGACACAGCAAAGATGAGGTGCCAAGAACGGAAGGAAAACAAGACAGTGACAACTGTGGCTCAGGCACAGTTGCTGCTAATGGGAAAATACGTCCTGATCTCAGATCCAGAAAGTCAAGTGGGTGAAGAGGGAGGCCTAATGCATTAGAAACACAGTGTGGACCCTTAAAAATCAGAAAGAAAAGAAATAAAAGAAGGCACACCTAGAAAACTTTATGAACTGGAAAGAATCAAGAGACTGCATCATGCGTTATCACCCGAAGGGAAATAACAGGTCAGAGACCTCGGGGTAGAAGATGATAAAAGAGTAGACATGAGCAACCACTGAGCGAGGTATGTGTATCTATAGCTGTAGTACTAAATAAGAACTATGTTCCATACACATCTGAGGCAAGAATAAAATTAAAAAGTAAAGAAGAAGGAATTGAGCATTAATTTGGTATATATAAAAATTCATAAATTTTGCATTCACAAACTTCAAATACATAATTGGGCAGAATAAAATTTTAATCATTTTTAAAGTAAAGAGGATGCATTATAATCATAATTCAATCACATAAATTTTTTTGGCAGAACCAAGGATTAGACTCAGGCCCTTGCACTTGCCAGGCAACACATAAAATATTTTAATTACTTAAAAATCTATAAACACAATTCTTGATTACATATGGATAAAGGAGAAACCAGAGGAATTTGAAAGGAAAACTCTGGCCAAAAATAACAAAATCCATTGTACTCAAGGTATAACCTGACATGGTTTTTTTGTGATCAAAAGGAAAACAACTTAATATTTATTTAGAAATTAGAGATAAAAATTAAATCAAAATGAACTAGAAATACTAGACCAACCATAAGCTGAAATAAACAAGCTAACATAGAATTGGAAAGCTGGTCTTTAAAAAAGTTACTAAAAAAGATAAATCTATTACAAGCATAATTATAGAAAACTGAAAATCAACAATAATCAAAGAATTTAAATGACTGTAGTGAACACTGCATGGAACTCTGGAGATACCAGTATCTTTGAAAACCTGGGAGAAATGTCTTCCAAGTTTTCTCTCCCCTGAAACAGTTTATAGCAGAGCCACAGGTTTATATACTGGTGTATATACAGTTCACCTGGGATTTTGTTAAAATACAGATTCTGCCCTACTAGTGTAGGATGATAGCTGAGATTTTCCAATAATTACTAAGCCAAACAAAATCTTTCCTCCTTTAAACTGACATTGTCAGGCATTTAGTCTCAGCATAGAGGAAAATGACAGGATAAACACGGATGTCAGTTCTCAACATAGGCAGCCCTTGTGCCCAAGAAATACTAAAGTATGTTCAAACTCACTGGTAGGCAGTGAAATTTAAATTAAAGTAGTAATATAATATCTTTTTTATGTCTTTGAGGCTGGAAAATTATAAGCTCTAAGGGGATCCAAGTGTAGAATTGAGAATTGAGGAAAAAGCATACTCCCTCGACACTGTAGCAAAATATGAATCCTTGGAGCTTACTGGGAAAACAATCCAACACCACCTATTAAAACTAGAAAGAATACAACTCAGTGGGATATAACTCAGTGGTAGAGCACTTGCCCATCATGAGTGAGGCCCTGGGCTGTATTCTCAGCACTGTTAAAACATAATAAAAAATAAAATACAGTAACCATGCATCTGAAAAAATCTATCCTATAAAATAAAGACATCATTATATAAACATACATTTAAAAAAACACTTAAGCATCATTTCTAGTAAGATAACAAAAGAACTGAAGGAGGAGTCATGTTAGTTTTCTGCTATAGGGCAGCAATTTATCACAAATTTAGTGACATGAAACAGTGTGCATTTTTTATCTTCTGGCTTCCGTGGACCAGGGCTTGAGATGTAGCATAGCTGTGTCATCCACTTACAGTCTGACAGGGATGCAAATAAGGTATGATCCAGGCTACTTTCTCATCTGGTGGCTTGACTGGGGAAGAATTTGCTTTTGTCTCTCTCACTCACTCTAGAGGCAGAACTAATTCATCTGAGTCTAGAGGTCTGAGGTCTCTGGCTTTCTGCTGGTCATTGGCAAGAGGCTGTTTAGCTCTCAAAGGCCAACTGAAGCAGGCCCCCAAGTTCCTGTCAGTCAGGCTTCCTTAACATGGTCACTTAACATGAAGCCAGCAAGAAGCATTGCAAGAATAAATATGTTTGAAAGATGGTCTTACATAATATAAAAATGTGGCATTTCATCCTCTGCCATCTTCAAATTACAGGCGTTTCCCACATCCTAGGAGAAGTGCCACAAAGGGGTACACACCAAGAATGGCCACAGTGGATCTGTACCTCCGCTAAAAACATCTCATTGACTCAGGGAGGTTTGGAGATGGTTATGTTTATACTATTGACTATTGTATAGCTATCATAAAGAATGGATTAGGGTGATGCTACTTGCTGGGATTTCTAATTGCATTGTTGAATAAGAAGAGCAAATGCAAAAATAGTTGAACAATAAATTTCTAAACAATGACTCCCTCATCTGTGGATTACTAAAGGGTCAGGCTTTAGAGGAAATGAAGCTTTCACAACTCATGAGCTAAGGGAGAAAAATGTAGGGACAGAGGAAAACTTCTCCCAGGCAGCAGGTTTTATAGTCAGGAGTATAAATATGGCAGCCACTGAGGCAGAAAACCTGTTCATAGACAGGTGGAGTTTCTCCCCAGCTACGATAAATGCATGTTGCCAAACTAACATTTTGATGAACAATTTCTCACAGTTGAATTTAAATTTAAATCCTGGTGTCTGGACCACTGGAATTCCAGTAAAACTAAAAATGAGATTGTGGCTGCCTATCTTCTTTTCATTAAACATGCTGGAATCCCTCTTTGGATCTTTGACAGCAATAACAGAGGTCTGTGTTAGATGAAACCTTAAGTTCTAGCAGCATGTTGCTTGGAATCACAAATTTTGCTTGTTGCCTTAAATTTTGTAATTGTAAAGTTAGTCTTGTAATATTAAGTGTGTACTATTTCCTTTCAACTTTAAAAATGAGGCACATGACCACTACCTGGCAAAAGATGCACATCTATAATGTGTAACAAACTTTCCAAACTCAACAATGAAAAATAAAAACAAATGCTCAAGCAATACATTAGAAAATGGGAGAACTATATCAACAAACATTACACTAAAGAAATTATCCAGAACATATGAAAAGTATATGGAAAGATATTCAACAATGTTAATTTGTGTTCAGGGAACACAAATCTGAGGCTTAGTGAGTAATTAACAAACATTTCAAAATAGCTAAAATGAACACCAAATGCTGCTGAAAATGTTTCCCTTAACCATACCCAGTAGGGATATAAAATGATACAGCTACTCTAACCAATAACACTTTAGCTATCTATCCCAGAGAATTAAAAAGTTTATTCAAACCAAATGTGCAAAAAGCAAATCAAATTTTAAAAAATGAAAGAAAAACAAATGGGACTTGAGATGTTAAACAAATTAAATGAATGTCAAAACACTGTTGCTCAGTGAAAAGTCCAATTTAAGAAGGTCACATACAATATGGTTTCACTTATATAACACACCTTAAGTAACAACTATAGCAACAAAATAGATTAGAGGGTGCCAAGAGTTGAAGCTGAGGTAGGGTATAAGGTATAAGTGTAACTGCAAAGAAGTAGCGTAAGAAATCTTTGGGTTGATGAAACAGTGCCATCCTGCATGTTGCGGTGGCTGCACAAATGTTCAGAGATCCACAGACATGCAGACATGCACGGGGCATGAAAAGCGGGTGAAATTTAGACAACATTGGGGACCATGCTAATGCTCATGTCAGGCTCCTGGACTTCTACTATTGCTGCATAACGGGTTATCACTGCATGAAGGTAGGTGAAGATACATAAGATCCCTCCATATTATTTCTTATGACTGCATGTAAATTGAAATACGCCAAAAAAATTTTTCAAAAAACCCTTTAGATAAAGAGAAATTTTGGATTGAAAAAGCTTATTTCAATACAAGACAGCTCAAACTACAGTTCATGAAAGGAATTTCATTTCATCTTGATTGTGTAGTAGATGCCTCTGCAACTAAAAAAGACTAGAAGGCATAATTTTGAAAATTAATTTCTTTAAGTTTTAATGTACAGGGCTTACATCTTATGATTTTAGATATGAGCAAGGTGATTTTGATATTTCTTTGACTTGGCAATTTCATTGAAAAGGAAAACCCATAAATGGAGGGGATTTTCATATTTCCATCACAAAAATGTGGAATTCATTTATGCTACCATATGATCTCTCTGAACAACTAATCTGAAATGATGTTAATCAAAAGACTGGATATAACCTGGTATAAGAATTAGAATGACTATTACCCCTATATAATGCAAGGACTTAGAAATTGATTTGACACTGCAGTTCTGATGCACTGTGTAATATATACTGCCTTCCAGGGGCCTGAAGAAGACAGAAAGATCAGCTTTCAGAGGGAGAAGGTAAGATTTTTGTCCCTCTAAGAGATGCAGTAACAACTCTCGATGGCCATAAGCTTTGGTATTCAACTCTCTATACTTTTCTCCTACTTTTGGTACTTCTTGTGAGAGAATACTCCTTGTGTGAAAATACTAGGGGGGCCTTAAACATCTGGGGCCTCTAATCTCTCAGATGAGATCAGTGACTGACAGCCTGTTGGTCATGGGAAGCATTCTTTCCTATCATGTTATATAAGATTGCATCACAGTATGTTAACATGGTTTTATTTTCAGGGAGAAATCTTCAATTTTAGGTTCATAGATTCAATTTTATTATAATGGTATGGATAATAAAACATCAAATCAGAATTTGCATAACAATTATCACTATAGATCAAGCCAAATGCCCAAATTTACCTTTATTGAAAGAAAAGATATTACTTGGATTATTGTCTCTGATTCCTGAGTAATCACTCCGAAAGTGGAAAGAAGAGGATGTTATGTGTCGACTCCTTTCTAACCTAACCTAAGTAGCTTACCATAAAGCAGCTGCTCACACACCTCAGACACACCTGCAAAGCTGAAGCAGCTCCTGTTCCTATAGCCCCAGCGTGTAGATTTGTCAGCACAAAGAGCTGTAATAACTTTGCCAAGTTTTGTTAAAATCTACTCAGCAATTCTATGAGGAACTTTCAAAAATTTCATCAAAGTATCATTTTTAGCTTTAAAAGTACAAAACAAGAAGAGGGAGAGAGGGAGGGAGGGAGGGAGGGAGGAAGGGAGGGAGAAAGAGAGAGACAGAGACAGAGACAGAGATAGAGAGACAGAGAAGAGAGACACAGAGAGAGAGAATAAGAGAGTAAAGGTGGCCCAAAAACATGTGGAAATGAGGATTTTCATATGTAAAAAGGATGTAATACAAAACAATAGGGCAAGAGATGGGTTTGATAGCTCCATGAAGTTATCTGTATTGTCTGCTATGTGCTAAGAGCCACATTAGGTGCTGCGAAGAAAAGACAGCCATAGCATGCAAGACAGTGGTGGGGTTGGGGGCTCTCACCATAAGCACACAGGGCTTAATATGCACTCCCCCAATGAATTAAATATTAATAAATGCACTGAGTTTAGTTTGAAATGAATTCTTCTGGTAAAATCAGGCATTTTGCCACTTAACTAACTCACACAAAAGCTCAAATTTTTCAAACCTCGTTCTTCTGCAAACTGGGAACTGCTTCAGGCCACTCACCTCAATTTTTATTATCTTCAGCTTAAATAAATTAACCCTCTTTGTCAATGCACGACACTATGTTCCCTCACATTTCTTAAGTATGCTTTTCTTTCTCTCTTCTCAGAGGTGAAGAGGTGGGCCTCTGGCTATTACTAATTCAGTAATGAGAGAGAAGCCATTCTTTTTGAATATATGATATTCTCCAGATCTTTGACAGGATCTAGACCTCTCTACATACTTTATTTTATTTTGTGCTTTCTCTTAGCTTTTTTTTTTAATAATTTGTCTTACAGGTTCTATGTAGTCTTCCTCAGATTTCTCAAATGTTAATATTTATCTCACTTGCTTTATCATTCTCCCAAGTTGGGGTCAAGAAGACTCTGCATCGCCAGAGGCTTCAGTCACTCCACAGAATTTCAGTGCTATTGCCAAATGAACACTCTTTTATCCAGCCTTGGTTCATTTCCTCTGCAGTGTGTTACTGCACAGGTCCTACCCTCATAATCAACAGCAAGGTCATTTGAATGCTTG